GGAAATTGTTTCGAAGTGAAAATTCACACAAGTGACGTCAAAGTGCCAAAAACAGCTGTATGAGTCATCCCATTGAGATTTATGGTTTTTTATGTCTGCGTAACGAAAGTCTAAAAGGATTCACAAAGTTTTACGACTAGTGGCACTTGTTACCAAAAAACTTGATGTTTTTGGCTACGCTGCTGTCCGTCAGAATATTCCTGCACAAGACATCTTGAAAAGTGGAATGGTTAAGGAAAAGAGCGAGATTTTACTTATTCATACCTTCTAAGCAAACGAGCCTTTAGCCTTTCTATTTCTGATTCTTTACTTCTGATATGTACATCCTTTGCCCTAGCACTATTTCCCACTAGGGTAAACGCTATATTCTCTCGTTTCGTTTCTTTTGAAATGAGTTTATTACTTTCTATACATCATTATTTATGTGTGATTTCCAGAAAACTGACTACGAACTGACTAATATTTCTCGCAAGAAATCATATTAGTTTAAGTTGAGAATAACATATCGAATTTTACATTAGTGTCTAATTTATTTCTTTGAAATTTCTCTTGCCTATTTCGAATTATGGGGAAATGAGTTAGATTATTACTCGCATCATATAATGCTACGTATATGTTTGATTAACTAGACTTTTGCGAGGAAATTCCAAATAATTACTACTAGAACCTTGAAGTACTGGCACAAAACGTACTAAAAAAAGACCAAGACGACCTTGATTAGTCATGATGTTTGCGTGACTCATCTGAACACTGAATCTTACTCTTGTCATGGGAAAAATGGTTGCGAATTCTTGCATAAATAAAACGTTGAAAATGGCCAGCTGAACTGGAATACATATTCTTCTTTTTGGCACATCATTAGACACCTATATTCACTTACTTTCACACTTGTACTTTAGCATCTTTTTTCTCGAGCTAATCATTGCACGGGTAGGACATGAACCCAAAAATATATCAGAAAAGTCATTAATCTCTCAACTCTCGAAATTCTGCAGAATCGGCTCGATGGGCATTCTTTTTGCATTTTTCTGGACTCTCGATTCCAAGCAATTCTTCTTTCCTCCACCGCTTCCCAACTTTCGCATCGTATTCGGGTAATCTCAACCTTTGAGATGCATAGCCTAGTTCTCTGGTAAGGCATCTTTGGTATGAATTCCAAAACGCAAAAATCAACAAATGAAATTTTTGAAAGTATAAATGATAGTTGACAGATATATGTCTTAAACCTGAATTTCGATAGCTAGTCAAAAATTTGATTTTGCAGATGTCTTATAATTTTTCAATTCCGCTTTTACTATTTTGTATGAATAAATTAGCAGCACCATGTAAGTTGAGCCGGAGTAAAACACCTTAACTAATGCCAAAAATTATAATTTCAGCCTCTTGCTTGGACGATCGGTCCCTATGCGATCCACATGCCGAATGTGTACCGGGTGAAGGAGGGCATTACGTTTGCAATTGTCACTATGGCTATCACGGAGATGGACGAACCTGCACTCGTAAGATCAAATCATCGATTGATTACGGTACCCACAGTACTATTATAGTAGCCCAAACTGCTATTTTAGCTGACACCCAAGCCCGTGAAGAGACCATATTAGTCTCACGAGGAATGGCCATATTCTCACGTGGAGTAAATCCGGAAATTCCTGGAAAACAAGTAATCTTCAATCGACTAGTTGCGCAATTGTCCTTTTTGGTGAAATCTCTACCTATAAAAAATTCTTTTCAGCTAATCGTGATCCCACATCATATTGCTGTTGGCTTGGATTATGACTGTAAAGAGGATCGCCTAATTTGGAGCGATATTTCTGGTCATGCGATTCGATCCGCTTCTCTGAATGGGACAGAACATAAATCGTATTACTCGGATGTACTTAGTAGTCCAGAAGGAATCGCTGTGGATTGGTCTTCAAGGTCCGAATTATTTTCACCCTAGATTTTCTTTAAAAAATTCTAAAAAACTCTTCCAGAAATGTCTACTATGCTGATTCTTTGAATGACGAGATAGGAGTAGCATCTCTAGATGGAAAATATCAAAAAGCTCTCCTTACAGAAGGATTAGTCAATCCGAGAGCACTAGCTTTAGACTTGCAAAATAGGTAGGTCCAAACCCTCGAATCCCCTAAAAAATTCTCGAAAAAATCGTACCCATACAGGCACCTGTTCTACACCGATTGGCATCGCGAGAATCCTCTAATTGGAAGAATGGACATGGATGGAAAGAATAATAGGATATTCTTGAATGATGATGTACATCTTCCTAATGGGATCACAGTTCTCCCTAACAGACGAGAACTTTGTTGGGTTGATGCAGGGAATCATAGGTGAGAGATTCCGAAACGAACCAACAGACTCAGAGAAAAAACGCACAAATTCAAAATTAAGGAAAAAATAGAGAAAATATAAAAAAACACTTCAAATTGCCGGCAAACGTCCTGAACTTGATAATTGTGGTATTATAAATGATCGCCAATTCTTCTGTAACTTACCATGCATACTGCACACCATGCGCA